GACGTTATCCACTTTACCACGGAGGCACGATAGACACTTCTTGTACAACGGGTACAAGCATATTATAATTATATCAATAAATAGTACTTTATTTTTGAGGGAGTTGTGGAGATTTGGAAATATTTCAAGAGGTATTCCCGAAGTTCCAATGAGAAGTCGTGACCGGTGGAGTCAAAGCCTGATGGTTGTGAGGATAGTTACTCAAAGATGACATTGGGTGGTGGTTGCGCTATATCGTGAGGTAACAGAAGTTGGAAATATGGAGCATTGGATTCTGACCCAGTGGCCAGCTCAATGGTAACGTGCTGGCCACAGAACCTGAAGGTCACGGGTTCGATCCCTGGTGTGGCGGGGTCGTGGGTACGCACTGCTGAGGAGTCCCATGCTAGTTGGACGAAAGAGCTGTCCAGTGCTCCCATGTTTCCTTTGTTCCTCCAACTCATGTCAGTTTACAATGAATAACAACTTGAAATAGTATTTTAGTCTTCTGTTCTGAACAAATAATTCTGACAGGTTATTTTAACATGAGATTCGTAGATGATGTTGTATAGGTTCACAGAGTGCCTGCACTTGAGTTGTACTCAACTTTTTCTTAACTTTCTTTAACATAATGGTGCTTCTAAGGCCAGTTTAAGTCTCAACATTCACGGATTGATTTTTCGTTTTACTTCACTCCACTTCTATTTTGAAGTAGCTATCGCTAGTAGGAGTATAGAATTATGTATTAATGATGGATATTGGATAAAGGTGGAATCCAACACCCGCTTTTCGTCCTCTCCAGCTGACGAATCCTAAATAGGACGAGATGCACGTCCTGCATTCCACTCCTAACCAATATCCATCATTAATACATGATTAAAAAACACAGGCAATATAGAGGCATCCGCACAGGAGCCCGTATGCCAGTAGAGACCGATCAATTCGGTCCAATCAATGACGGGATAATACAAACAACAACATTAGAAGTGTAGAATAACCATGACTGCGTTGCTAGGTTAATCGCAGTTTAAAATGAGCATATCTGAAATTTAGATTTAAGTAGCTACCATCTGAGGTATTCGATTTACTTAACAAAATGACAATTAGTCACAGACTGAGAGAAGTACATTTATACCAGAAGTTGATTCTCAAAGTATTCATTACCATTATTTATTTATATCAGAAGGAAGTGTGCAGCTGTGGACTATAACAGCATATGCTAAACGTCTTTAAACCAGAAGTCAGTGTTATCAAGACTGATAGTGAATGCATGAAAAATGGCACTCAATCATAGAGAACAGTGAGAACTTTAAATTTGACGATAATTAATAGAATTTGCTTGATCATGGCTATTAGTGAAATCTAGGACACACATTTCGTCCCATTTGGGACTTGTCAGCCGGATATACTTACACCTCAGTGAATGATGTTGTGCCCAGTGAGACTTATCACTTCAAATACCAAAACGTTACCCACTAAGGTAATATCAAAGCATCTAAATAGGAGCCCGTTTCCCAACAGAAGTTGATCAGTTCAATAGAGAATAACATCAGAAAATCACAAGTATCAATACATTATGATGAATAGGACTATTATAAAATGAATGCTGGACTGTTTGCTGTTTTTTGTTCAGTGACTTAATCCACCGACAGTTAGTCACTTCGACGCGGTTGTATCTCATCTGTTTCCAGAGAATAAGAAATAGCAAGGTAAAAGTATGATATGAACTTATAATTTACGATTAGTAACCGACTGATTTGAACTGCCTACTATCATAACAAGTAAGTTATGTAATAATGACAATAGTGGGTGCAATATAAAGGTACTCATACATTAAGACACAGATCGAGACATTTAGGCCTATTGAGAAGACCAGAGGAATATGAATATAAATTTATTCATGTTCAAAGAGGGGATCATACTATCACACAAAACACTATAAGTTTAAATCGGTATTTACAAATGAAGATTCCCTATACTTCTCAGACAGCTCTATGAACTTTCCTGTCAGTCGATGTACCACTCATGTGAGCAGTGTGAGAACAACATAGCCTTATTCGAACAATGGAATAGGAAATTAAATGACTCTGTAGGCAATCTTGATGTGAGTGACTATCTTCAAAACAAAGCATCCACTCTGGTTTTGTAAACTTCAGTTCTTTGAACCATTTGAACTGAAAACCGACTGGATTTACCCATCTTCACCGATTGAACATCAACACACGAATATATTGTTTCAATGCATCATTTTGACATTACACTAAACATATCGTGGGGTGAATAAAAGTTTATCAGTACAAGAATTGCTCAACAGTGGGTAACCGATTTATGTACACAGTCTAGCCTGTCGTCACCTGAATAGCTTAGTGCTTTGACATGAGTATTGAGTGACCTATGTTGGAAACACTAGAGGAACGCCTGTATTCTAACGGTTGCTGTTTGGTCTTGCTGATGAGTCCCAACAGACACGAGACACTTACGTTTAGGGCCTCTTATCGATTGACTTTCACCACATAACATCAAAGGTTCACAGGTCTTATGATCAGAGTGTTTGTTCAACTTATGGTGAATAAACACTCGTTTGGATAACTCGATTACTCCGTAGTCCTAGAATATATTTTCCACTTATTGATGACAAATAACCTTTGTCAAAGTGTTTTTATGACCCTGAATTTTCACTTAAAGGGTTTTTTGAGGATTGATCAATTTGAAGACAGTTGGAAAACCACTAAAGACCTAGAAACACAAGACAGCTGGAACTCTACAATAATGTTTTCTATGATTCAATGGAAGATGGAGCCCAAAGGCTCTGAGTCTCATGGTGAGCACTTAACCGTTTGGCTACTGAGTTAGAAATTAAAAAAAAACAGTTTAAACCATCCACTTATTATTATACTGATGCAAAATCTCAACATCTATACAGTTCGTTAGTTCTAAAGTTGGTTACTGACCGCTTTAATATTGTATCAGTTACTATGACGACTCTGGAAAGTTAGATGTCATAATGAAGAGGTGCCGTCGATTATATTGCTTTTAAATTTTACTTCACTCAACAGACAAGTGATAAGTAGTGTCTATCCCAGTTAACTCTCATTTAGATTGCTCTGAATTAAATGGATTCTTGTCTGTAATTGACCAATGGTTTTTCAAACCGTCTCAAGTTAAACCCTTCTAAATGTTAGACTGCTAATTTAGCCAGAGGCATAAAGAAGACTTGTATGAACTGTTCATGTTCCATGACTCCGGTTGTATTGATGTTATTTCTGTTGAAAGCAAATCTAGTGTTAATTATCTTGGATTGAGTTTTACTTCTGACCTTTCAAGTTGTTATTCATCGTAGACTGACATCAGTTGGAGGAACAAAGGAAACATGGGAGCACTCGACAGCTGTTTCGTCCAACTAGTATGGGACTCCTCAGCAGTGCGTACCCACGACCCCACCACACCAGGGATGGAACCCGTGACCTTCAGGTTCTGTGGCCAGCACGTTACCATTGAGCTGGCCACTGGGTCATAATCCAATGCTCCATATTTCCAACTTCTGTTAGCTCACGATATATAGCGCAACCACCACTCAATGTCATCGTTGAGTATCTGTCCACCTGTCACGACTTCTCATTGGGACTTCGGGAATACTTCTCGAAGCTAGTCACCAATGAGCACCAGTTCAATTAAATTTTGAGGGAGTTATGGAGATTTGGAAATATTTCAAGTTGTTATTCATCGTAGACTTTTGATCTTTGTTAGTCATCTCATATCTTGTTGACTTGTAAAAAAATCTTTCGTTTAACTTATTGCATAAAGAAACTGAGGCTGTTTGGTATAACTCAACTTCTACTGTTACAACTTATTAATTCCTGCATTTTATCTATTCTTCTACATTGTTCCCCATTGATCTTTCGTGGTCTACTAAAAAAAAAAGGACTACGTTGTATTGCGTAGGGCTTTGAAAGTCGTCAGTAGGGTGAGTAGTATCCCTCTAGGTCCACTGATAGTTGATCAACATTTAAATTTTGCCAAACAACTAGCTACAGTAATTTTAACTGGCACTAAGTATCCACTTCATTTACAGCTATCTCCTTGTATCTCCTAACGGAGGACAAAAAGAAACTATACAAAACTGTACGCTTATACAGCTAGATACGCGACTTTGACTGTACCTTACCTAGCACGGATATTATGTGAGCCAAAAAGGGTGTTAGAACAGAACTTTACCAGCCAACTTTGTAGTAATTAACAATCTCATTTCAATAATTTTGTTAACAATTTAAAATGTTCTCTGTTTAGTATTCTTTACATTACTAGAATTTTTATAATAACACAATTTGAAATGTTTTAAAGGAGTATTTGTACTGGGTAGTGATTGAAGGTGAGATGAAAATTTGGATCACGGCCGGATTCGAACCAGCCATCACTGGTCTACTGACCCGGTGCTCTACCAACTGAGCTACAAGGTTCGACTGCTGATGGTAGTCAGCCAAAATTCTTGGTGATTAAAGTGGAATAAAATTCTGATCAACAGTGTAACCTCGTAGCTCAGTTGGTAGAGCATCGGGTTGGTAACCCGATGGTTGATGGTTCGAATCCGGCCGCAGTCCAGATTTTCATTTCACCTTCAATCATCACCCAATACAAATATATTTTGTTGCTGTTGTAATAGATCATGCTGAGAACTTCAAATTGTACCACAAATTATTTGGAATAAAGTGGTTATTATTATTAGTTATGGCAGCTGTTAAAATCGATAGCCGACAGTAATAAAATCAATGAAATGAACAGGAAAACTTATGAACAATCACCAAGTGAAGAAATTAGCAGGAATAATTCTAATCAGCCGCCAATGGGTTTCTGGCTCAATACTCTACCAATTGATCTATCAGATCCAACTGCTGACCAGAAGCTTATTTCACTTCAATCACTAAGCGTTTTTGGCGACTACTATATGAATTGGTTGTGACATGTTACTATCCTGCTTGATCAGAATATCTAATCTCTAGAAAATAAAAGTTAATTTCTGTAGAAAAGTCAACGTGTTGGCGCTTGTTTATCTGTGTTATGATTGTGTGTAGATGACAGTATCAATGAAAGCGTCTTCTTTGATGCTCAAACTAAACAAATCTACAATCATTTCACTTTTATTCTAATCTAAGTATGGTCTCCATACAGGTAGAGTATTATTGTCAGTTGTAGTCAATGTAGAAGTGATTGTATTCAATGGACGACATGAATTAATTGAAGTTGTCTTACACTGTTGCTGATGCCACTGTTCACTAGATAAGGATATCATATTTTTTAGTTTAAAACTGAAATCTGATGATGGTTTTGCTAAATTTACGATTGGGGAAAGTGATGGTGTTGTTGACTCACATCTCAGGGAATTCATCAAGGAATTGGATGACAAGTGGACAGTATTTATCGATTTCACTGGAAAATACACCAAATCAACACAGTTAGTAGTAATATTTATCAATTGTTGTGTTGTAATAAAACTAGACATCCTATTCATATTGGGTGTTAGTTGTTCCAATGACTGACTATTGAAAAATCCACTATCAGGATTATTTAATGATAGGGTAAAATTTTCACTGTATTGCTGAGGTGTAGATTGCCATTGTGTTAAAGTTCCATTGTTCGGCATGTATACAGGAGTGATTAAATTTTGGAGATTCAATGGAGTTGAATCATCAATGGGAGGTGATTCCAACGACGATAAGGAAGGCGTTACACAGTAGTTGAGAGATTCATCAGGTATACTAACAGTATCAGGTACAGTAGAACATATTGTATATGGCTTATTTCTTATAGAATTGTGAATGATTAATTTCGGTATTTTATTTTCCTTATTATCTTCATCAATCATTTGGCATAAATAATTATATGTAGGCACAGAAAATGATGATGTTGTGGTTACGGTTGAAGACACCGTATCCAACTGTGAATGCTGTTCTTTCTGATGGTGGCAAATATCTTGATGATATGTATCCGATGAACAACTTTTTTCATCAAGTACCATAATGTTTTGATCTGTTTTATCAATATCTGAGGTGAAATAATCCTTTGGCATAATTGATTTAGGTCTTACCAGTGAAGATGTTTCACTTAAACTTCTTAGTCGTGATCGTAACTCTGTCATAAAAGGAAAAAAAGAAAAACACAACTCAGATTACAAATAAAGTGAATGAACAAAATCTGTGAAAAAGACAGTCGTTTTAAAGACTTTAGATAAGTAACAGCTGATAACGGATCTCGAACCAATGCATTAATAATAGTGTGGTTGTAAGTAAAGCTGAAGAAAGGGATATTTATCTAGGTGACTAGTAGTGGGATTTGAGACACGCGTTTCGTCCTATTTGCGACTCGTCAGATGGATGTATCCTCACCCCAGTGAGTGATGTTTTCCCCACTGAGCTTCAAACCCAGTACCAATCACTTCAAAGGCCAGAGAGTTATCTACGAGGCTATTGGAGCTTTTCGTCCCTGTATAGCAACGGGGAATGATAAATGCGAAAAGAAATGAAGAATAGGAAATGAAACTCGAAGCAACCACATATCAAAACAATTTTTTCTAGTGTTGGCAGGTCAAAGGTAATCGATAAGAAGTCCTCGATTAACGTTTCATACTTATTGACAGTCGTCAATTGAAGTATCTGCAAAGTTGGGGATAATGATGCCTTCTCAGACATCTGAAACCTCTCAATTCACTACTGACGTAAGGAGTAATGGTAATTTATTAGTTATACTTCCTAAGGATGATTCAGAATAAAGAGGGGAATTCGGTACACCGACATCGAGTAATGTGGGTCAGAACATAATTTTGTCTTAAGGTTGCACTTTCTTCTTGCTCACAAAGCCAGTTGGCATGTAATCTAGGTTTGGATGTTCCTACTCTTTCAATCCTAACACTAAATACTCAAAGACAATGCACTACATTGTCGTGTCTTTCGACTTAGTGAACTGATGACAAACTTAACTGATCAATCAACACTTGTCACTTCATAGATGTATCAGTCAACCAACCAGTTCATATACCCAACATATCAGTGAGAAATCAATTTGTATTGAAAATTAAAGTTAATTCAACTTCTGAAATTATACACAAATGATGAAAAGGAGGTAAACTATAGTGCGCTGTTATGTTCATCAGCAGAAGGCGAAATACTGCTCATGTAATGTACATACATGTAGTAGAAAAGCTGTGACATCCATTGTAATGGTAGAATATATTTCATACTACAAACAGTCTCCCTTCATGTTTGGCTATTGTTGAAGTACCATCAATGGATTACGAAGTGTTTCTGTTAGGGATGTCCGAATCAATCACTCATTGTATACTGTATCATTTAACTTCTTATCGTCTTGGTTCATTTTTCATTTCATATGACCCAACTAGTGTTTTGACTGGCTGGCTGTTGCCACTTTTAATATGCTAATAATTCTTTCTCCTTCAAGGTAACTATAACTCTGCACACATATAGTTAGCTTATAGTAATAGACGTCCTTGCTTCGAGATAATATAACACTATTGAATTCCATTCTCTGAATCATTCAAGCTGAATAGCACCAACCCTTGAACTCTAAATCATTATTTATTGTCGTTTATTTGCAAATCTCAGCTTCTTAAGAGTTGCATACCATGTGATTCTACCCAGTAAAGCAACCAGAAACTTCAAGTGTTAAACAACACCTGATACCAGTTGCAGAAGAGGTGGCTGTCGAACCCCAGTGATCCAGTAGGTAACGCTTTAACGTTTCAGAGTGATGGATACGAGGTTCAAGTCTCATTGGGAGACAGACACATTCAGCTGACAAAAAACATATGTCTTGGGTTCCACTTCTAGCTGCCAAGCAGATTACAACTTCATAATTAGTCAGACAATATCGAGGCATCCGCATAGGAGCCCATCTGTCACCAGAGGTCAAAAAATTCGATCCAGTATAACAATAAAGAATTACAAGTGTCAATAAATAGCAAAAAAAATTCCTTTTGAAAGAAAACAAAACAACAAATTAACAAGGAAAATACTTACTAGGTTCATCTTTAGCGATATTCTCTACTTGTTCAAAAATACTGCAACATAAACTCAAGATATCAGTTTTGACAACTTTATGACCTTCATGAGGCTGTATTGAATAAAGTGAAAAGAGGAAGAAATTTTGAGAAAAACTAATATTTTCTTAGACTTCCATTCTTCTCATTCATATAGTATGAAAACTTAAAACTAGTTGAGGGGTTCAGCAGAACACTTTTTTCCATCAATTTCTAGTATTGTTTTGGGAAAAAACGTCGACTGTAAAACAATAACAATTTCATGTTAGTATTCATTATGGACTGATATCATTTAGAGGAATATTGGAAACCCAGGAGTACTGGACAGCCATTTCTTCCTAATGCGGGTCCCCTCAGTCATGGGTGCGCACTGCTCAGAAGTCCCAAGTAAATTGTAGGAATGAATATCCAGGGGATACAGAGGTTTCTGTATAGCAGCCCACATGTCAGCAGAGATCAGACATTTCCCGTTACACAAGGTCTACTTATTTTTCAGTAGTCTACTGGACAGTACCCTGGCTTTTTAAACGACGGTATGGGGTTCGAGCCCCAGTAGGGACACTGTGGCTGACATGGGTGTATGTGTATCCAGTTAGTATCTTATTCAAGTATCAAATGGAAACTATAAGAGATAACATCAAATGAAGCCATTTCCGCCTACTGCAAATGACCTAGCACGCTTTGACCACATAAACCATAGCAACTTTATTGGAATTCTCTAATTGTACAGTTGGCGTTAAATACACTAATCCATTTACGAGTTATCAGCATGCAGTTATGGGTTCAGGAATACTAACTCACCTCAAAAAGCTCTTACGTTCATTCAGAAGCTTGGGAATTTATCTTTGGGTGGATTTGTTTAAGGTCTCTCCATCAGGAGAGAGCACCACCATCAAGTTTCAAAGCTGCTTGAGTGTAGGTGCGTCTTGAAGTGCTTACTGACCTCTGGCTCAAGTGGTTGTTTCCTGCTTTTTCTAGCTTTCAGATTTCACTCATTCGTCGGGGAATCACCGTCCTTCACTGTTGGTCGAATATCAACAGACAGTCTTGGATACACTTTATATTTGGTTGAAAAGGGATGATGACTTCAGTAGCCAAATTTCAGCTGATGATAATACACATAGCAATCTAAGAAATGTGAAATACTACTTGAGTTGTCTTCGGAATTTTATAGAGAAAAAACTCGTGAGTGAGAAAGTCAGAGAGAACGAGACTATCCACTTGTTAGGATATAAAACTGACAGGATGCTTTATCAATCTGACTATCTGAGATGGCTGTGATTTGGTAGATTAGTACTGATACTGAGTGATGATTGGAGGTGGAATGAAAATTTGGATCACAGCCAGATTCCAACCAGCGGTCACCGATTGCTGACCAGACTTTTATTCCACTTCAATCACGAAGGTGGATTTTGCCCGACTACCATGTGAATTAGTGTTGTGTTACTATCTCTTGATCATATTCACACTGGTTGCCTAGTCAAGACTTCTCATCCCAATCCAAATCTCAGTGAATTAGAGATGAGGAACATCATATTGATTATCATTTCGACTACCTGAGATAGCCATGGTGACTGAAGTGAAATAAAAATCTGGTCAACAGTAGAACTTTGCAGCTCAGTTGGTAAAGTATCGGGCTAGAAACTCGATGATCGCTGGTTGGAATCCGGCCATGGTTTTATCTCATCTACAAATCTACGCCATCATCATAAAACACAAGCAGAACTTCTAAAGCCTTATCACCATGTAAGATTGAAATGATATTTGTGGTATGTAAAAGTAAATGTTCGACATTTATATTTTAGATACATATGTCTTTGTGTTTATCCCACTCAGATAACACAACCTAAAGTTATTTTAGGAAATTCGTGCAGAAAAAGGAAGATAACATAGTTATATTGATTATTGACTCGTGTGGTTCCATTCCACTTGACAACACTTTTCTGCACCTCCCCCCCCCCCTTCAAGAAATGATAATAATCCACCAAAGAAAATAAAAGTTACTCAGGTAACAAACATATAGGTGGTGGCAATAATTACTTTTTCAAGAAAAAATTTAGTTACTAAGGCGGAGGAAAAAGTGAAAATTATATCAATGTGTTTTTTAAACAAGGCGAATAAATAGCAACCATGATAATTATGTTTAAAAAGGAAAAGAAACCAATTAACTAAATCCATCCATTTATCACCTCTCCATATGTAGTAATAATTTGAAGACTAGTGGTTATGGTAACAGCTGGGTGGTGAAAGTCTAGGAACAATAGACTTACATTTATCTTTGCATTTATTGCGGGTAAAAAATTCTTAGGTAGATGACAAGTCAGAAATATGATGAAACAATCAATAAAATGATGTAAAAATGTATACTATATGGTTGACTGGGTAAATATAACAACATTCAGAAAAAACTCAATAATGGATATTGACTGAAGTTCATGATTAAATTTTGAGGGAGTTGTGGAGATTTGGAAATATTTCAAGTTGTTATTCATCGTAGACTGACATCAGTTGGAGGAACAAAGGAAGCATGGGAGCACTCGACAGCTGTTTCGTCCAACTAGTATGGGACTCCTCAGCAGTGCATACCCACGACCCCACACCAGCAGGGATCGAACCCGTGACCTTCAGGTTCTGTGGCCAGCGCGTTACCATTGAGCTAGCCACTGGGTCATAATCCAATGCTCCATATTTCCAAGTTCTGTTACCTCACGATATAGCGCAACCACCACCCAATGTCATCGTTGAGTATCTGTCCTCATGGCCATCAGGCTTTGACTCCACCGGTCACGACTTGTCATTGGAACTTCGGGAATACTTCTCGAATCTAGTCACCAATGTGCACCAGTTCAATTAAATTTTGAGGGAGTTGTGGAGATTTGGAATTATTTCAAGTTGTTATTCATCGAAGACTGACATCAGTTGGAGGAACAAAGTAAACATGGGAGCACTGGACAGCTGTTTCGTCCTAATATGGGACTGCTCAGCAGTGCGCACCCACGACCCCGACAGGGATGTCAGTCTACGATGAATAACAATTTGAAGTTCATGAATTTTTTTCAGGTAAACATTCGAATTATTATTAGCTTTGAAATATATCATAAGGGTAAAACTTAGTCATAATGGTAAAAACATCACTCCATTTTAATTCACTTTTGAGAGTTAAGGGGATTTATTGGTTTCAGGTTTATACAAATGGCTGCAGAATCTTAAGACCCTGGGTTCGACCCCCAGCGAGGGGGATATGAATGAGCACTTCTGAGGAGTCTCATACTAGGACGAAACAACTTTCCAATGCTCCCAGGTTTCCAATATCTTTTTAACCATTGTTAGTCCATGATGAATACCAACCTGAAATCCCATATAGTTGGTTCGTTAGATAAGTCACAAAGTGAGACAGTATTATTTACTGAATAACATTTTGGGCACCATTTAGTAGCCCTAGTTACATAAACATAACTCCATAACTTTGAAGGGATTGTAATTCTTTCTCCATATGTTGTGAGTAGTAGAAACTCCCAGATATCTGGAAAAGGTGCTGATTTGTTTCTGTTGCACGCATGTCATGTTGAGTCTATAAACAAAAATTCCGTATTGAATCTCTCTGTCTCCCTCTTTCTCTGAATCAAATCTAAAAAATAATTCAAACTGTAGTTTGGTTGCCACATTGCGAGACGGTGGATAGAGTTCAGTCAGTACTTAGGATTAGACAACATGAAGTTGGTTACCCTCCAGTGACTAATTAATGTATCTAATCCAGTCCTACAGGAGGTCAGTCGTGACGCGAAAAGCTCAGTGGTAACGTCGCTGACTACAACACTGAATGACGCGGGTTGGAATCTCAGGCGGGACATCATTTCCGTCGGGTTGCATATATGCCTTGTTGATAAGTGCTAACAAGCACGAACCTTAGGTCCAGCAGGGCTTCCTACCGACTGCCTCCATCCATCAAACAACTGCAAACTCTGTAAAGAGAGTATACTAACTTATGAACAACTGAATGCAGTAGTGGATCAGTATGCGAGTGCAACTCAATGACTGTGAGCATGTACTAGGGTACGGTAAGTACATCACCTTATTGAAAACTCTCTACTCGAACACTTGTGAGGATGTTAGAGCCTATGGCGAGTTGTCCAGTGAGCTATACTTATCGAGTGGTGTCCGTCAAGGATGCCCACTATCTCCATTCTCATTTAATTTTATCACAGATATACTTATGGAGGTTTCCAACTCATCACCTAATTACACAAACGTTGACCCAACCACAGGTGAATTTTCTTTACATCCAGAATATGCAGATGACATAGTCATGTTAGGTGAAGACACTAACAAGATACAGAGTCTTGTGAACACTTTGAGAATGTTTGGGATGCGATTTTCACCACCCAAATGCAAATTTTTGCTCCAGGACTGGTCTCCAGCGGCACCATGGCTAACAATAGAGAGTGAAGTGGTTGAGTGTGTTGACCACTTCAATTACCACCTGGGAAGTAGGATCAGCCCAGCCCTAGTAGCTCACTGGCAGATGAAATCTCTGCACAAATACAAAAGGCTCGATTGGCTTTCGCCAATTTACCCCACTTATAGCACCACTATGGTATCCGATTGCCTATTAAGGGTCACGTGTACTGCACAACAGTCTACTGTGTTCTACTGTATGGCTGTGAAACATGGCCATTGAAAGTGAAAGATATAAAAAGCCTTCAAGTGTTTGACCACCGTCACCTTCGTAGTATAGGACGTATTCTGTGGTGTCACCACATGAGTAATGCAGAAGTCAGGTGTAGAGTTTTAGGGGGTAGAGGTAAATCAGTTGACGTGGTTATGAACCTTGATCGACTGAGATAGCTAGTTGGGACACGTACTACGTATGTCCAGTCACTGATTTCCTCGTCACACAATGTTGGTCGAAGTAGGTGCAGGCTGTGGGAAGGCCGAAGTTGGCCAGACTAAAACATGCCACCAATGTATGAAGTTTCTGACTGTTAGTTTGAGGTATGTGGGATGATGCAGACTAGGTGGTTTGAGTTCGCGAGACAAGAGAAACCAATGGTTTGATACTGTATGTGATATGACTGAGAACCGATGTCAGTGGGGTAGATGTATCCCCACACACATTATCCTCATCTTAACGATGCTATACCAAATCTCACCATTTTGTCATTCCTTTGTCATTTCTTTCTTCTCGTACTTAATATTTATTTCTTTAGACTGCATTCTCTTATCTTCATCCTTCATCCTTCACCTCACTACCTTTCTACTTGATGTAGTGATATGAGGTGTGACGATTGGGACCGTTATGCAGTTATGCAGTAATGCCTGGTCCTATGTTGATATTCGTTGATTGGTTGACTAGAGTATGGGTCACACTGAATATGTGATAACTTATTACAGGGTGAAATACAACTAAGTAGGTCAAACTAGGACTACTAGAGTTCGGACCTAAGATATTTTATTCGAACATGGAATACCTAAACCAATAAGTTACACTATCATTTAAGTGCAAAACCTTAGATTACTATTATTAGTTAGTATTCACCACGGACCGACATCATTTGGAGAATTCTTTAAAACCTGCTTGTAGGAAACTCCTCTGCAGTGCACACTTACGATCCTCCCCCTCTAGGAATCTAATATAGGATGTTCAGCTTTCACGGCGAACGCGTCAACCATTTAGTCAATTGGTCGGAGTTCAACGATCCACACCTTGCTATTTCTGTCAATTTACGTCACAGTGCGACTATCCACCAAGATCTCCAGCTGGCATCCACTCCATTTTTGACTGAATGACCCAACAAGTCACGGCTTCTTCTTAGGGCTTTGAGATATCTGTCTCGAAACATGTATGTGCTTGCTGTTGAAGACTCTTATACCAGGACGAAGCACCTTGTTAGTGCTACTCGGTTTTCAGTCGTTCTCCGGTTGATATCAGTCTTGGTGAATATCACTTTGAAATAAGACTTCCATAAACCTCAAAAATTTATTATTATTATTATTAGCACTATTCATACTTTTGTAAAGGATCTTTCTTACAAGATCAAAACGTTTATTTATTTTTAATTTGGGGGTTTGTGGGGATTTTTAGTAATTTTAAGTTGGTATTCACATCTTGAACTGACATCAGTCGGAGGAACATTGAAAACTTGGGAGCACTGGACACGTGTTTCGTCCTATTATGTCACTCCTCAGCAGTCAGCACTCATCATCTCTCAAGCGATCAAAGCCAATACCTTCAGGCTCCGTGGCCAACACGTTACCATTAAGCCATTGGGTCGGAATTCAATAGTCCATATGTCAAACGTCTGTCAGTTCACGACATAGCACGACTATTTTGTTCTAATATACCACATCGAGATTATATAAGTAAAAATACACCTCATACGATGAATTATTATTGTTATTATTATTATTAATCTCTCACCTCAGGTTTGGGAATGAACTATCAGAAAATTAATATGAATTAAAAGTCGAATATTTGATTAAAAGACAAACACTTACATCAGTTCCAATTATGCTCATAGCCAAATTATATAAGGCGCTTATTCTATCAGAGATACACGCACGTCGTTTACGTTCCAGATTTTGTTTTTTCAACTGTGAATTGCAAGAAAAAAGTGAACGATTAACAGTCAGTTAACTTAATGAATATTGGATTATGAATTCCAAAAATATTACTAATTGGGAGAATAAATTTGTCACCTCACCCCTAGTTTGAAATGATTATTAGAATAGTTATAACTCCAAATAAGTTAATGCTCAAAAAAGCCCCTTTAGAGACACTGAGATGATGAATTAAATTGCTTAGTTTTATGAAAACAAACTCCTTTCCCAGCCAAAATATCGAAACCGAATTGGCTATTGCAGTAGTTACTAGAGTGGCCTTTAGAGTCTAGTAACTTTTAAGGCTACCCTAGCAGCAACTGAAGTAACCAATCAGACTAGTCTGTTTTACTGAAATCTGCCTTTTCAACCGAAATGAATAAACCTAATTGGTTATTTCAGTTGTTGCTAGGGTGGCCTTTAATGTAGCCCTTTAGAGTCATAGAGTCATCCTACATAGGATGATCAATTTACACAGTCCACATTGACATTTCTCACAGCTGAGTAGTTTTTCAACTGTGAGTTCATGACACTTTTGTGTCGTAGATCATACCTTGTGATCTTTACTGAAGGCTGGTTCCTAACGGAAACTCTATTGACAGCGTATTCTAGCCAGTTGAAAAACTATTCATTTGTAAGAAATGCCAGTGTAGACCGTACAATCTGTTAACCATTTGTAAACTGATCATCCTATTTTGGGTATACCGGTTCATGCATTCTGTCTTACCGGATTCGGCTGCATGAGCTGAATTTTTCTGGGCATATCGCTGATAATCACGGCTCCAAACGAGCGAAACGGTCTTCTGGTTTTGAGACCACTTTGATCCAGCTGGAGAAATCTTCAGATCAGTATGAGTGGTTTCTAACTACTCAAGTTGTTCAGTAGTAGTATCTTTCCCTAGCCAAATATTGAAAACTCAGTTTGCCAATGAAGTAATAATTTGTTGAAACAAGCTTTGATGACACTGTATGGTAGATAATGAAGTGCATTAGAAGAGTACCCAGTATTATGATATAGTAACCATGTTTAAGGTGAGTTGACTACAGTGTAAGTCACTTCTTTTGACGACTTCATTCAATCATACAAACCGATACAAAGTGGTCATTATAAAAATATGGGTGACTTTAAAGGCCACCCTAACAATACTTAGGATAACCAATTACGTTTCTCTATTTCATGAAAACTACCTTCTTAGCCAGAATACCGAAACCTGATTGGTTATTTCAGCCGTTTCTTGGGTGTCCATTAAAGTTATTCTCAATAAATACTTGTTTTGATTTTCTAAATACTGTAGGGTTACATTAAAAAATATTCAGTCCAAGGTTTAAGGATACCCTACGTAATTGGGGCCCATTATCATGCATATGGCAATTACCTAAGGCGCACCATTAGACACATCCCTCTCAGGATACGAAAATATTTCGCAGCTCGACTTGAAAAGGGTGAGGTCAAATCCACTAGGTATTCTTTACTAGAACCATTGGTATACACAGGACACTGCAAAGATGCTAGAAAAACTTTTATAATGATACTCTGCTTTCGGAAGACTCCACCACATGCCAATAGTCTACGCGTGCTCCTCATACTTGAAGATCTCCCAATCATCAGCGAAGAAAATACGTCGAAAAGGAAATCTTGGTTGAAGTGTCCCTTGCTAATTCTTCAAATCCTCGAAAATTCTATTGAATTTTTGCACAATTCTTCTATCATTCACATTATTATTACTTGTATTACCTTACGGTCTCCATCATATCCACATGACCTTTCGTACCCTTCTGATGAAATTCATCTTATTTTCTATGTTAGTCGCCAACCCGAAACATCACCATATTGAACTTTACTACTAATTTCCCTCCTCCATGTTGTATCCATTTCCCACGATTGACCATTAACCACTTGGCACCTACAACTTAATTTAACACAAATATATAAGTCGCGCTGTCACCCAGGTACTTAAAAGCCAATCTAATTATAATTTCTCATCAATTTTAAAATGCATTTACCACAAATATTGAGTTACTTTGACCGTTGCCATAGCAACGACTGGAATAAAGGCGTGACTTTAAAGACTACCCTAACACTACTGAAATGACCAATCAGGCTTCGATAATACGACTGGGAAAGTTGTTTTCCAAAAAATACCGGAGTGTAATTGGCTAATCTCAACAGTTGCTAGCGTGGCCTTTAAAGTCACCCTATCCACACGAGTATTTTTTGTTAATGAGAATCTTTAAGTGATTAAAATAAAACAGTAACACCTAGCCATTTTAACATACTAATGATAAACTGTCCCAGTTGTATATTATTAGTTTTGTGCGAGCAGCTTATATAACAGTAATGGTAATAATAATCTTTGGTGAGTAACTTACTCGGCGTGTGTAATCTTTATCTCTAGGTGGTACAGTTGACCGTTTACCTCTTCGAGAAGTGCTCATACTTCCTCGTACTTGAGAAGTTTTATGAGATGTGATCGAACAATTTTATAATGCAAATAAATTAGAGGCATTGTAAGTTAGTGGTAGACGTGCGTAGTTCACACTTGCATCAGTGACAGGAATCACAATGCTTCTACGTCTTGTTTCTAGAATTTACAGCTGGTATTCGCTGTCAATTAGCATTCATCTGAATGAAAGAATTTTATAACCATGTTTCAGAACGATGTCAGGCGCCTGGATAGTAATTCAAGTGAGGCAGAACATAACCAATCAAAACATACCATGAGATAAGTCGCCCACGCGAACTGTTATATGACATTCAATCTGTTATTTGATTGGATAAAAGATAGTCACTTCCTATTAATATGAGGATGTGATTGGTAGATAATGCGCGACTGTTAAACGTGACTACTGGACCGATTCACCACCCAAGATATGCAATTAATGCATGCGTGACTTTATGCAACGACTCATACTTGTGACAGCTTTGGGAAATGAAATGTAGCGTCTAAGATAATGTGATCTAAAGACAAAAATCGTCAGCATGGAATTTCATTGCACTTAGAGGATCACAGTTACATAGGGAGAGCTTTCTGCTCTTGTCAGTGGTAAAGTGTTGCTGACAACAATTAAGAAGTACACTAGAAAGATATCAGTGATCGAACTTCAAAATATTTCACATATGTCATCATATAACACACCGAGATTTAAGTCTTATAAAAACATATTTGATCCTTAGGAGTTCTACATCGTTAAACTAGCATCCACATATCCCTATCAATCAAAGTAATACGACACTTTCTGCATTCTAAACAAAACTCAAATCTATTCATTGAGTTTCCCTTACTACATGTGACTGTAGACATGCAATATACTAAATGAAACAGAACTACAAAAGAGATCACGTGGAATATTTTAAATATTGCTAATGTCAGTTGGTTGGAGGTGATTGGCAAGAGGCCATACATTTAGATTTCATTCTTGTTGGCACTTACCAACATGTAATATCTGCAGTCTCGTGGAAGCTGACATTTAATCTAGGGGGTTTGTGTAAATTTAGTGGTTTTTTAAAAAGTTGGTATTCATCACGGACTGAAATCGGTTAGAGGAACATTGGAAACCTGGGAGCACTGGATAGCTGTTTTGTCCTAGTATGGGACTCCCCAGTAGTGCTGACACATGACCCTGCCCCACTAGTGATCGAATCCACGACTTTTAGGTTCCGTGATCACCACGTTACCACTGAGCCACTGAGTGAGAATATAATGGTCCATATTTCCAACTTCTGTCAGTTCATGACATAGTGCGACCATCACCCAGTGTTATCGTTGAGTATTTTTCCTCAACAATGACAATGGGGAATGGGCGGCGACTTGGTTCGATCCCTGGCGTTATGGGGTCATGGGTGCGCCTGGTGAGGAGTCGCATACTAGGTTGAAACAACTGTCTAGTGCCCCCAGGTTTCCAATGTTCTTCTAACTGACGTCAGTCCACGATGAATACCAACTTGGGAGAAGCTGACATTACCTCAGAGATCTGTAAAATATGAGTATGAATGCAAAGTATTATAACAGTGGTGTGTTGGGTACTTTGTTGTAAGTGAGAGATGAGACAAATGCTCCAGTGGTCAAAACTTCTTATACAGTGAATTACAACCGTTATAATGATATAGAGGATAAGTCATAGGAGTACTATAACCTAACTATATTAGGAAAAGAGGGCAATAGGTATCATTTTAGTTCAGTGGTGAAGTCTCTCTTGGATGATGCACATGGATATTTCAAGATAATTTGATTACTGGAAAACGCCAGTACATTAGAAAATTGTAATTATCAAAAAGGTCAGACGTTCTTTCTTGAGAGTTGAAGATACATTTCAGGTCACTCTTTGCTAACCAAGCTGGCTACTGTCCACGAATGCAATTTGTAAACGGAAGCATGGTACGGTTGATGTATTCAGCTCCATAAGAGAAAGTAAACTGGTATGATCATACTGATGTGATCGAATGCGTCAGCTCTCCTTTCATATACTGACCAGAATGTTTCTCGCAGGAGAAAATGATTTGAAGGTTGGTGACAAAGTAATTTCTCTTCAAGCATCTAGATAGTCGTCCTTCTGAGGATATCTACACCAATGTCATTTGTGAATTTCTGATTCAACAAAATAATCTTCTTTGACGCTATATATATTTATTCAGTTACTCTCTTCAGTTTTCAGTTCTTATCTATGAATGTAGGCGGGAAATCATTCTCAAGAGCTTTCCGATGGCTCCGCACTTCGTTAACAGTGTGTTCTGTACCCATTTTTCTGACCTTTAAGGAAAGTGAATGAATAAAGTTTCAATTCCTACTTATAAGGACCGAATTTTGAATGGTACAAACTATACGTTCCACATCGGCTTTCTGTAAATTTATCCTTGAAGTGATTTCTCATCTTTTCCTTCGATGAGTTCAACATAAAAGACATAGAAGGTTGGGTGTCATTCTGGGTGTACAGTGAAGTTGATGAAGGGATGAACATTAGTAAGAGTGAAAAGCAGGTTTAGGCGATAACATTCTCATTGCGAACGATGTTGTCATCAAGGTATCTTTTATATACATATGAAGCTGATTGACTGTTGTTTTTTAATAATCTGATACTTTCTCGGCTCTACACAATGTAATCAGTAAGTTGAGAGTAGTAGTGCAAAATAGATTGGCACAGGAACTCCCTGACTGTAAACGTAGGAAATCACAACTGCTACAATCTATGCCATTAATTAATTAAGCATTCTGAGAGTTCAACTTCCAGTTATCACTAGTGAACAATCAATTTACAATAGGTGAGCAACATTATCATTCAACATCCATATTGAGAGTTAGTAGAGAGTGTTCGAGTGTGTGTGTGTGTGTGTGTGCGAAGGGAATCAATCCACTAACTGGTTTCACTCACCACCTTGTCTTCTCAATTAATTCAATGATTGATGAATCAAGCAGAGAGATAGCCTGACATCATCAAAGACAAGGATGTTTTACTTTCGTGTGACTGCCTACTTATCCGTCAAATGAAAGTGATTGGAAAATCTATACACATTACATTACATTACATTATTGGTGATCACTTGAAGGAGGGATTGTTGACAGTTTGCATGATAAATGATGCCTTATCATCAGATGACTTGAGTGTGATAAAGTGTGAGTGAAGTGAGGAACAGTTGGGAGGTGTTGCGTGTTGTTTAGTCTTCAATTATCCAATAGTAGTAATACAATTGATTGTAATGATGAGGTGATGGTGAATTTTCATGCAGTCTGTGAGTACGCTGCTGCAGGTGAGTAGGTGGTGTTGGATAATGATGCGTGGGTGGGGGCGGTTAGGAAGTGTGAGTTTTGTAGAAGAGAGAAACGTGAACCGATGATTCACCAATCACAAATGATCTATTGACATTGAATGATGAAGACCAATGGAGAAAAGGGATAATTCATTGGGAGATGAATCAGTTGGAGAATGGAAACTACAATGTGAATGAGTAAGACTTCAAATGAACTACATACTCATCATAATTCATCACAGTTTCTACTTCGTTACAAATGTGATCCAGAGAATATTATATTGCATAGTCGTGGAAGAGAATGACAGAAATATCTACAACTTCTCTATTTTCATTACTTACTCATCTGTACTGTAATCAAATCATTGAAGTCTATTCAGTGAATGTAATAAATAATATTGAAGGAGAGTGAATGAGTGGATATCAGATTATTCAGTCATTTCTGCCTACTTCCATTTCCACTTTCCTTCCTTCATTATTTCTATGTTGTCGTGTGCATTCATTTCTCCTTCTGATCGTTGTATGTTATTATCACTCATTATTATTATTATCACTCACTACGAGTATTATTGTTATCAAAATTCAAACATTTACTGGTGCCATTCATGAAGTAATCGTGTTCAGTGTAGATTATTGAGGAGTGTAGTGGATGAGTGTAGGTGGCACATTTACTCCAATCAACCGAATTCCTCAACATCGTCAATGACTGTTGTGTCGTATTTGCATATACAGTAAGTAAGTTGCTGAGACTGAGATGTCGAGTGATGGAGTTTGAGAAGGATGGTTACAGTTGATGTGTCAACAGTGGGAATAATTTTGTTGCTATTGGGTTATGAGTGAAGGTGAAATGAAGATAATGGTGGTTGGAGGATGTGAAGCAGCGACTTCCACCTCCGAGTTACGAGTGGAATAGTGAAGCAACCGTTGAGGTACAAGACTTACCTGTTGATCAGATTTTCATTTGATTATGAATGATAGACCTTTAGGTTTTACGGTATCATATGTGAGTCGGGTGCAACTGTTGATTGTTGAATCTAAATCAACCCGTGGTGTGCAGTTGGATCTACGTATTATTATTATTATTTGTCACTTGGGTCCCCAATGCAACATTGGGATTCACTAACACGTCTCAATTCCACTCTCTTCTCTGCAATCTTTTCAACCTGTCATCGCGACTACCCACAACCTCTCATTTCTTCCTCACACCATCTCCTCCATGTCACCCTCACCTCGGAAGCCCAACTCGTCATTTCCCATCTGGATTCCACTCGAGCAACTGGCCTGGAACCTGATGTCCCCTAATGGTCTTCTCAATGCATGCCAAATCCATCCCCACTTCTTTCCAGTGCATACTTGTTGAGCGATAGCTTCTTGGTTGGTTCATTGTCAGAGTTATTTGTTGCTTATTCTTACTATTCTGGTAATCCATCTGATCTTCAGTAACGAGCCAGCGTAGACGGCAGTTGTTGATGAATGTGTGTAGTTTGTTGGAAATGCTTTTCGTAACGCGCCAACTCTCTCAACCATCACATAGAAGCATTGACTTGACTGAATTAGTGTTGAAAATCTGGATGTTGTTCACGCCTTATGCTGAGTGCAGTGAAGCAGATCTCCACACTGGTTTCAGGTTAATGAACGCCTGTCTTGCTGTCTTTCCGATCCTGACTGGATTTGACGTCCTCGTCTGTGCCTGTGCCACCACCGCCTGTAGTTGAGACGATGCTGCTCTGCCTAGATAGGTGAAGGAGGCTACTTCCTTTAAGTTTCTCCCGTTCATGTTGATTGGAGTTTGTTGTTGTTGTTGGTGGTGTTGTTGTTGGTTGGG